TCCCTCAAGACGCCTGACGTTCGAGTCACTGACGATTACAAGGGCCCGAGTTTTCCCTCTCCATTTCAGCACGGCCTGAGCTTGTCCTGCCGACCTCACACCTGTTCCCACCCCGCTCTCCGTTCCCTCATCCAAGCCGACCTCCCTCAACCCGAGAAACTTGTTTTCGGTCTTAATGACTGCCTCCTGGGTCGCTTAACCTTCGCCCCCTTTACGATCTGAGCCCAATTACTAGCCACCTGGGAGTAGCATTTTTGACAGAGACATCTTTGTATGGTTTCTGAGTAGAGAAATTAGTTAATAAGTGGATTATAAATTATGAAAAGCTAACCTAATTTTAAAATTGCAGCTGGGTGACTACAGTGAAATTGAACTTATAGATGCAACTGAGGGGAATAAAATTTGCATGCTTAGATGTTTGAACCTGAGATGCTTTATAAGAAACCTAGGGTAAAGGGTAAATATGGCCCAGGATCGTGCCAGAGAGTGCAAGGTGGCTATCGAGCCGTGGAAGGTATTGGGAGGCAGGACAGATACTGAGAAGGATTGCAAAGGTCAATGGGAAGACCTGCCCCGAGGATGTGGAGGAACGACTCCGACTGGATGACCATAACCATGGACCTAGCTATGGCTTCATCTCTCTCTTCATTCCTCCAAGGACGCGGCTTCGTATCATCATCATCATCTACATGTGGTAAATCGTCTGCATGACTCTTCCACCCCCAGGAAAATATTTCATATTGGATGCATTTCTATACATTTTCTCCAACTTGAAGCCAATACCATAAATCCCAAGGGCTGATTTTACACTGTACCAGCAATGCTTGGGCTTCATTGTTGCAAATCTGTGACTGTTCTCCACTGATCACTGAAGAATATCCAGTTGATAGCTCTGTATATATTTTTCCTGCTATCAAGTGTTTTGAATAATGAGAACTTGGGATATATGATACAGGTATTTTAACACGTTGACGACCAGCCTATTTTTGCTTGTCCGCCGCGTGGGACCACGCGCATTTTTTTTTGTCAAAAAATGCGTCCTGCCATCAGGACGCATGGTCCCAGAAATTCATTGAAAATGAAATCTGCATCCTGGCATCAGGACGCATTGTCGCCAACGTGTTAAACACCAGTTTCTCCTTCAAATAGTGGATTGCAATAGAATCACCTTTCAGCAACAGATGTTATGAGACAGGGAGCTTCAATATTTAGAAAAGTTGGACATTTCTGAGGGAGCCACAGCAAAACATTGCATTTTTGTGCATCTTCAAGCTGCTTGTGAAACAGATATTACTGACAGGTACAGTCTCTAAATGCTTCTCAGAGAAGAAAACACTTCTGACACAAACTACAAGGGTCTTTCATGCACAGATTGACCTTTGAGAATTATGTTAAATCACTCTTTTGCTTCAGGTCAGTGCTGCACATGACATACCATGGGCTGCATATCAACATCAACAGCCTGGGGGGGAATGACTTTCTCAACTACCTGATCTTTGGAGCAATTGAGTTTCCTGCATACCTGATGGCATGGGGCAGTGGAAGATGGTGTGGCTGGCGGTGGTCCCAAGCTTTCTGCTTTCTCCTTGGTGGGGGAGCTCTGCTCCTTGTGCCTGCTATGCCTCCAGGTCTGTCAAACCTTTATCATATGTCCATGCAAAGAAAGAGCAAATTAAAAAACAAAAAAATGTCCCAACAAGAATCATCAGCAAGAGTGGAAAGGTGAAATGTCCAGGGTGAGGCCACTAGGGAATTTTCTTGATGAATATATTACACGGGGCTAGAGGGACAACATTCTTGAGCAGTAAGCCTGTAGAGGAAAAAGGCCCTAAACAGCACATTTTCAAAGCAATACCATTAACCTCTTGCTGCATACTGTGTCAAATATAATTAAAACCATCAAATTGACATTATTTGCATGATGTTAGAGCTGTTTAAACTAAGTGCATAATGTGGAGCATTGGATATGAAGCTCCCAACCTGCATGAAACATGCAGCTATCTGTTCACTAACTAAATGAAACATTACCTCTGCTGCATATCGTTTTCTACTTTTTTTCCATAAGAAAATAATGAGGTAAGGGGTTGAGAGAACTAATATTTCCTTAAAATTTATCAGGTAATTAGCAACATATAGAGGCTTTGCCAAATTCTTAACATAGGGGTGTTAAACTCAACTAGGAAGGGGACTAGATGAAACCCTTTAGCTGTAGTGGGGGCTGCATAAACAATTCCACCAAACTTTCAGCATAAACAAGTTGAAATTTGTGGCACTGTTCTTAAAACCAACTGTTGAAGAGAGACTGGCAGGCTGAACAAAATGAACTGTCAGGCTGGATCCGGTCCAACAGGCCTCTAGTTTGGCACCCCTGCCCTTTCTGTAAGGAACTTCCAGCAGAGATCAAGGAGTCTTCTGCAATTCTAAGGAAAATTGAGGTTTCCTCTCTTATGGCTAAGTCCCAACTGCTACAAAAAAAAATTAAATATGGATGTGCTTATCCAATGGTCAAATTTCTTGAATGCATTGGATCTCAGCAATTTTGATTGATTCCACAGGGGAATACACAACTGTTGTGGTGCTGTCAGTGATAGGAAAATTTGGGATCTCAGCAAGTTACATGATCATCTACATCCAGGCATCAGAACTGTTTCCAACTGGAATGCGGTCAACAGCCATTGGACTGGCCAGCATCGCTGGGAATCTGGCATACATCATCATTCCTTATGTTGTTGCCCTGGTAAGCCTCATTCCTTCATATTCTACCATGCATCTTGAATAATGATAAGTACCCAAGGGAGAAAATGGGTGAAATGACTTAAGCAACAGTGAAACCATTCAAGTTCTTAATTGCCTTCTGTACCCAAACACTTCAAATTATCAAAATGTTTTTCAATGTTTCATTTTTCTGTTGTAGCTTTCAATATTTTGTTTAATTCTGTTCAATATTATTCACCATCCATATCATTCTAAATTCATTGTCTTTGATGCTGCTCTTTACATTAGTCTTACCTAAATTTCTGTACTATGAAGGCTAGATACTAACACCCCCCCCCCCCCCCTTCATCTGCTCAGCTTTCCCTTGGAATGGTGCATTATTTGAATAAAAGCATGCACTAAGGATTTAAACCTGATGAATGTTGCAGGGGAGGCACAAGCAGAGCATTCCATATGTAGTATTTGGAACAGCTGCTGTGGTTGCATCAGTGGTGTCCACATTTCTACCTGAAAGTTCCCATGAGGCCCTTCCACAGACCATCACAGACTCAGAAGCATTTGGAAAGAAACAGAAGTTTTTTGCCTGGAATCTCACTCCATGGCATGAGAAAACCACTCATGTCGATGATGGTAGTATTCAACTCAACTAGGTCAAGGGTTCTATTAAAGGCATGTGAATGAATAGAAAAAGGGGATAACCTTCATGTTTATTTTTCTACATACATAACTCCAGTAAAGAAAAAAAAAGAAAAAATCCACAAGTCCTTGTCACAAATTCCAAGGAAAGTTCATGATTAAAGGAGACCTGTATTTATCCTGTGGGTGTTATCACAGCTGGTCTCAGAGAACAACCCGTGTTGAAGCAAAGCGATCACTGAGACTCTGCCGTGTTCCCATGGCAGCCAGTGGGGTTGAGGATACTGAGGGGATCTCAGAGTGATGGCGGTAATCCTGTTTCGCTGGGGTAAAGCTGGAACCCCGTTGTTGAATCTGGGCAATTTCGGCCTGGAGACGGGGATTAAGAACTTGTTGGTGTACGATGCTGCTTCGGTCCAATCGCCTTCGTCCCCCAGGGCTTCCCCCTCCTCCATCAACAGTGAAGGCCATGCTGGCCCCATCGTTGAGATTCCTCTGTCTCCACTGTGGTAGCTGCTGACCCAACTCGTTGGCAATGTTCACCGTAAGATTGGAGGAAGAAGGAGACCGGCTGGAAGAGAAATATATGGGCATTATTAACCCTTTCATGTATGAATTTTTTGAGCAAAGGAAAATTATGCCCTTTTGGTTTAATGTTTATGGAGGTACTCTGCTGTAGCAGACACATGTTTCACTGCTAGAAAGCAATGTTGAAGAGATTATGTGCCCTTGAGTTGCCTGCATACGCCAAAAGTTTCAAGGTATGTGTACACGTACCATGGCTAAAAAAAAAATTTCAAACAATTTTGCATGAAAGGATTAAAGTTCCCCAAAGAAAGCACAGCATGGCAATATTTTCAACCTTACAATACAGTATCTTAAAATGTCAGGTCATGTAACAACCTTGCAGTGGCAGTTTGTATCAAACTTCTCCTGACAAAGCTGTGAACTCATCGATAAAATAAAAGCTCTCTTTCCAAGGATGCAAAAACCATAGGCATGATTGACGTGAACATACTGAGAATACCTTTGATCAATACCTCAACACCTTCAAATAAAGTAGAAATCAAAAGGTTCCATGGTTGCGTTTTAGGTTTAAAACAGGAAATGTGATGCCATTTTCATCATCATCTACAAAAATCTGTCAATCAGTTTTGGTTACACAAGTCATCTGAAACTATAGGGCAGTTCAAGAATAATTGGGATAAAAGCAATAAAAAATAGATTTACAAAACTGTCATCCAACTTATGTTTCCTGCACTGTAATGTACTTGGACCAAATAAGCTCCATTAAACTATCAGCACCAGATGTGCAATGATTTTTCATTACTCCTGCACCATCCCAGTTTGATGAATTTAACACATGCTTGGTGAATCTTGCTTTTAGGACTAATTTTTTTTACTGCAGTAGCACAGGAAAATTCTCCTAGCCAATTCACTTTTGAGCAGAAAGAAATGCCACAAGGCATGAAGAAAGGTGATGGTCTATGGCAGGGGTGGCCAAATCGTGGCTTGCAAGCTGCATGCAGCTCCTGCAGAGGTCAAGTGTGGCTTGCAGTGAACTGTTGAGTGGAGAGCAATTGCAGCTCATGTGTTCCAAAGGACATATCACCCACCAATAATTAAAAAAACTCATCACAAAAAGCGTGCTGAAATATTGGCTCCAACAGTTGTACCATTACAGGTGCTTTTATTACCAAATTTGTATGAGCCCATACAAAAACATGCTTCCATGAATAACATGAACATTTTCAGCAATTGCAACCCTATTGAGGAATGGATTCTTCTTCATTTCTGATTAGACCTGTGATGGCAAGATGAGATAGTAAAATCCTATCAAACATCCAGGAGCTTTGGGGGAGGACCTGTGTAATTGGTCTCCCTGCATCTGTGAACATGTATGGAAGTTCAGTAATGCGCTGAATTACAATATCTGCATTCCTGAGTATTAAAGGTGACATTGCTACTACCAATTTTAAGGTTTGAGGTTCAGAAAAGTGCACAAGTATCTAACCAGCAAACTTGGGCCTTGGGGCCACTTCAAGAGAGCAAGACTCTCTCTCTGGGTTGTCAAGACTGATTTGGAAATAATATTTGGAATGCACTTGTCCAGTTAGATAATGATAAATCCAACTGTGATGGATTTGACTGGGATTTATAGGATTTCACTGGGCATGCAAATCCACATCCTGGAGGTCACCGTTCCTTTGAAAGCTGGATCTTTTCCAATTGGACAGAAATGAGAGAAAGACCAAAGCCTGCATCTGCCCTGCAGGACCATCAAATGAAGAATTGCTTATTTTCTCTTGGGATGTGAAATGTGGCGATAATTTCATGCATATTCGATTAAGTTTTATGATCATTTCGCAGCATTCGGTGAAAACACTGAGGGAGAAATTAGAGTTAGATTAATCAAGTCAAATCATATGATGAATATAATAAGAATTTGGTGATGTAAATGAACTATGTGACCAAATGAAACATTCTGATGAAATTCCTCCTCTGAAATAGCTATCCTCTTCTGCCTTTTATCTCCTTTCTTCCCGTCATGTTTCTAGATCTTTTTCCATAGGGAACAGTTTTATTTCCGGTTCAGAGTTGGCTCTCTATGACACATACTCAGGCTTGGATTGCAGCTAATTTATTACACATCCCAGTTAATGATCCCAGTGCATAGGCCCTCTCTCTTTGATTAAAAGCCTAAGGAAGTGGTAGAACCCTTCAGGCACGAATCCCCACACCAGGGGAAGCCTCTTACTGCCAAACAGTGGTCCTGCAGGTAGTGACTTGAGCATTGTCATACTGCATACATAGAATCCTATGTACTTGGTTCCTCCAGGAACCAAAGGTTATTAACCTTATTCAGCTAATGGACTGTGCAGGAGCGGTGCATGTAGGACGGACTTAAGCTGTGGAAGCTTTCTGTTACATCTATTGCAGAAGCCACTATCTTCTTCTTTAATGATTATTCCCTGGTGTGGAGATGTCGAAAAGGGTTTTACTCAGGGGGGGGGGGGGGGGGGGGGGGGATCTAGATCTTTTAGATCTGCAGATTATTCCCTGGTGTGGAGATGTCGAAAAGGGTTTTACTCAGGGGGGGGGGGGGGCGGAGAGATCTAGATCTCTTAGATCTGCGCAAACGCGTTTTGGGGGGTGGAACGCCTCGCACTTTTGGGTATGCTGTGCAAGTAGACAGGGTAGCGAAGCGCACCTGGGCCACGGGAACCCGTGGAAGAGCATGCTATCACGAAATCCGAAAATTGCAGAAATGCCCTATACACTGAAAATCTCTTTCTTTTGGAATGGGCTTTGTGAATTCGATGTCCAGCCATCACTCATTGGATCATAGGTGCCATGAAAAATCCTTTTCAGGTCAACATCATTCTCAACTTTTTCGCTTTTCGTTCCTCACTATCCCGGTTCACTCTCATTGTATTTACCGTTCAGGTGTCCGAGTCTTACGAGTATGTATGAAGGTCATGATAGCCAATGGATGGATATTTGGGTATATGTTCCGAAGAGATTCAAACAGACCTTTTATAACATTATCGTTAGCAACAGAAGTACAGAGATCCAGGACCTTCCCATGAAGCGTAAAAGGTACTAAACTAGCTACATTATGGAATCCTTCTCCATGTTCACAGTAGTGGCGTTTGGCGTATCAGATATAAGTCCGCCATCTTCTGTGAAATCCTCTACATGCTCTCATCCTTTTGAGGAATGGCCTGGTCGGACCGAAATGAAGACTGATTCGATGATTCTTTGTCTACATTGTCCTCTAAACTGTCTTCTGTTGCGATGATTTTACGTCATTGTTTTCATTCGCAAGAGATGAGGAGACCTGCTGGTCCTCCATGTGCTGAAATGGACCGTCTAAGGTGAATTTTGGAGTAGGAGTTGGTTCAAAAACCAAATTCTCTGTTGGAACAGCATCTTTTTTCAAGTGCCTATTAGCATTTCCACCATAAAATGAATCTGAGGAGAAGTGATGCGAGCACACGAAAGCATATCTAATTTTCTGCATGTCGAATCCTATAAGTATTTTTACAGGATGTGACAATGCAAACCTTGCCACTGCCCTTCATAACTAACAAATGCTATGAAGAGAATGAATGTAAGGAACAGAAGAATATGAACGAAATCAATGAATAGATGAGCAATGTATGTACAATGCTGTCAAGGGTGGCTCAGACAGCCGCAAGTTGATGGAATTATGAGCAAGAGACGACAGAAAGAGTGCGTATGACCTGCCTTGGCCTTAGCCTGGGAGGTTGTGATATGGTCTGGGCCAAAGCGTCCGCTTTTATAGTGGAACGTTTCACTGATGTCATCACATGCGCAAGATTTTACCCCCCTCTCTCTGACTCCCCTTGGTTTCACTACACTGCAAGTTGTTTGGTAGGATCATGCCCCTGACAAGACTCCTACGACTTGCCAGCCCATTAGGCCTCTTTAGCTATCTTTCGCCTTTTTAATATTCGTGAAGGAGTCATTTTGCTCCACGACAACACCAGGCCCCACACCGCCAACTGTACCCAAGAGTGGTTGTAGCATTACACATGGGAGGTGCTGGATCACCCAGCCCATAGTGCCCAGCGACTATCACCTGTTCGCACCCCTAAAGAAGAGCCTCCCAGGCAGCCGTTTTGCAACAGATGCTGAGGTGCAGCAGCCAGTGACTACATGGCTCTGGACACTTGGCACGGATTTCTGGTGGGCAGGGATCAAGTCCTTGGTGTTACTTTGGGACAGATGTCTCAGCAAATATGGTGACTATATTGAAAAATAAGGTACCCCATTGTCTATATCCTGCATGTAAATAAAGGTCTAAATAAATAAATATCTAAGCTTAGCTGCTCTTGTCAAGTTATTTATTGAAACCCCCTCATACTTTATTTTCTATGTTCTGGCTATTTCATGGATTGGTCAATTGTAAGAGGATTTCTTCTGCTAGCAAAACTCTTTAATGTGACAGCACTAGTTAAATAAGGATACCTGAGAGGCTGGTTTCCAGATGAGTAGTTTCGAGGTGTCCCAATCCTCTTCTTCCCTTGTGCAATAGCAAGTGCCTGCTTCACCAACTGCAGCCTCTTTCGGGTCAGAAGGCCTGCCCCTTGCAACATTACAGGCTGAAAATGAAAACCAGGGGAAGTCACATCATATTTATACTCTTGAATCCATGTAAAATTCATCATTGAGCCAGACTTAACTAGAAAAAAAAAGTGATGGGGGAAAAAGCAATTTATAGTCTAATATCTGCATAAGATTGTTGACAAATAAGTTTCATACAGATATAGTTTCAAGCAGTTAAAACACAAAGTCAGGTTTATTCCCTTTCCTCAGCTGAAAACTAATTTATTTAGCTAATATTTGTAAAAATTCATGAATTACTTTTTTTCTGAGACCATTCAGACCGAAGACCTCTTCTTCAAGTGATGTAACTTTTGAGAGCCATTTACATCACCCAAATTAATGGCTGGCTCTAGACGGCGTAGAGTCATTACGGAGTGGTGCTGTCGGGAAAATCATGACTTGAACTCGGAAGCAATGATGGAAGGGGGCTCACAGCCTTAGGACTCCGCTGAAGACGACCCCCGGCATTCCTCCTTCTCTGGATGGCCAGATTCTGGGCACCGATGGACACGTTGTTACGGCTGTTGAAGCTCGGCCTGACCAACTGCTTCCGGCCACGAACAGCACCCGTGCCTCTCCTCCCCGTGGCAAGGGACAGATTGGCCGCACTGCCCCGGATGGAAACGCCGCCTAGCCGACTGCGGTTCAAGCTCCCTCGTCCTCCACGGATTCCTCCTTGCTGTCAAAAATAAGGCATCCAAGGTGAAAATCCGGAAAAGGTGGGGAATCGAATTGGAACTCATGGAAACTAATACAAACTCTGAAGAAACTTATTTTTACTTTTGAAGCAAATGAATATCTTACTTTATTGCCCTATTCATTTACTTTCATCATAATCCTTGAAAACCATAAATATAGTGCTGGTATCGTAATCATGCATATTCCAGTGACGGGACGAGGACATCCCTCGATGGATTTTCATCTACTCCATCCGGCGTATATTTGAGTCTATTCGCATGGCGATAGGACTCCTTCTTTCTCAACCATATACAGTACGTCTCGCACTCAACACTTTTCTAAATATAGCCTGTCAGGACAGGAGGTTTGACCTAGATTCAAGATAGGTCTAGTATATCACTCAATTCTGCAAGCTACTTCCCCCGCTGAGAACAAATATTGCTCTACGCTCACAAGTAGGCAATTTCTTCAATTGGTTTCTTCCAGACAAACAAAATCAAGCCTGAAGATCCCGAACCAAACCAAAACCTTCGCATACAATATGATTGCTTGACAGTTTTAAGTTTTAAATTTTAATTAGCGAAAAATGCCAGCTATCCATGCAATATAAACATTGTTTCCTGTAGAAATTAGTTGAAGCAGTCCTTTCCAGCTAATGAAAGACGTGGGTGGAGTCTGTCCGTTAAGAAAAACAAAGCGACAGAGAATGAGGAGGGAGTAGCCTCCCAAAAACGCCTTGAGAAGGGCCAAAACGACTTTGCAGGAAAACTTGCCATTGTAGAAAAAAAAAATCAGCGCTTAAGAGATGAGTCTATGCCTACATCTCGAGTTCAGATTGTTTCAAGAGTCCATAAGAATTGCCGTTTAGAATGACTAGACGGGGCAGGCCCACAAAACTGTTACCTTCCTGCAAACCAGGATCCACATGAATACGAGGAGTGAAGGAAATTAAAAGGATAAAACAACAATCACTCCGAGAACGTGGTGAATTTTCTTGAATATAAAAAAAAAAGGTAATGAGTAAAATAGGTTTTAAAAAATTGTGATGATTTAATGGTAATAATCTGACCCCGTTTACCACACTAGTGCTTGAATTCCGTTGCCGTAGCTTGATTTGAGCCAAGAACTCTACGGGATTTCATCCTGCAGTGATATGACAGAAGGCGAAAAGTCCATTTTCGCAATTTCTCAGAAGGAAAATTTTAGAATTCCTCTCCATTTCACCTCCCTGACAGTTTGACTTCTATGCAACCCACACAACTAAAAATGTGTTCAATAGGTAGCAAATACGAATAAGTTTTATGCTAGGAAACAGGATAATTGCAGTTTGGCTACTGTCAGCTCAATTGTGCAAAAGGTGGACTTATCTCCATCTGTTCACCACAGAATCTATCCCGGAGTAACTGCCCTCGGCAAACAAGTTGCGACGGTTCATATAATTAATAGGGTTAACTGATTGCACTGCAATCCACCCTGGTAGCTCGTTATAAGTAGAATAAGCAAGCTTTGGATCATAATAGATTGAAGCGATTTTTATCAAATGTAAAATGTTTCTACATATGGCCAACCTATCGAATCCATCAAACTTATCATTTGATACCCCCCAAATTAGCTATTTTATCAGTTTTATACGTTCCTGCGTACCAGCCATTATGTGCTTCAGTTACGAACTCTCATTATAAAAAAAAGCCACGAAGAGAGCGAGTCTTTGTCGTGATTGCATGGGAATATTCGCACACCCTTGCTTTCAATTGAATGACATATTCAATTGAAAGCAAGGGGATCATCTGTTTGTTTCAACCCAAATGGATGGATAAGGTAGGCGTGCCGGGGAATAATACTGTGATTAAAGTTGCTGGGTGGACTCAAATTATGGAACCCGGAGAAAGGTTCAAAATGGAAGATAATCCATCTTATTGCGCATGGATGCACGTTTCATTTTGGTATTGAGTGCTCGAGCTTATAGAGTAGAGGGCACAGTCAAGGCGAAAGTGTACCCACAAATGACGGATCTTGGTCAAATACAATCCGGTGACTTCCAGGAAGGCTTCGGTTTTCCCCGGATGGTGGGCGTCACCGTGGATGGAGATGGGGAATATATACTGCCCTCCAAAAGTCTTGCGACACTTTTTCGTAAGCGAGATTCTCAGGAGGAACTGCAATATACAGTGTCCCAGAAAACTCTCCGCACTTTAGGCGGGATGTTGCTTGGACAAGGTTAGCAGAACGGTCATGACCTTGGTATCGATAAATAGTCCCGATCCTCCTCTACCGCGTCAGCTAGGAAGGATAAAGAGGAATGAGGAGGCCTTTAAGATCACCGGACCAAACGGTATGTGACTACTGGCTCTGGGGTTTTCTCAAAGAGAAAAAGTACGCTGCAAAACCTCGTACTATCCCTGACCATCACCGAAGGCACAAGCCACAAAGCTGTACGACTTTCCCCGTCGTCCTTGGTTCATGGCCATGATCAGGATGGACAGCAGTTTGAGTGGCTCCCACATGACCACGAAGTTATGTACAGTGTTTCTGTAGTGATAATCCAATGTAATATATGATTTTTAAAAAGTCCCTCCATTTTCTCCCACTATCCATCCAAACTTAGGGCGGGTTTCCTGGGACACCCTGTACATAAACGAAGGCTGGGATGCTAACGCGGAGGTTCTTCAGGCGGTGAATAACGACAACCTAGATCTTACTGCAGTTAAGTACAGAAATACGATCATCATCGTGTCTGTATGCATCAATCCCGGAGGAAACAAGGACTCCGCAGTCGAGGCGATAAGTGTCCTTGTTAACCGGTTTTCAGACAAATACACTCTCTTCATAGCAGGATATATGAATCGGGCATCGTTATTCCTACGTAAACCTAATTCAGCTCACAGACATACTAGAAAATGTGGTGCCATTCCCAACAGGAGGAGATTCGAATCTCGACCAAGTCCGGACGAATGCTACGAATATGAAGTCAAGAAGACCCTCGCAGCTCTCAGACCACTCGGCTCTCCTGATATATCCCGAATTCCTCAGCCGATATTCGAGAGAAATGCTGGAAAAGAAAGCAAATAAGCTCGACAAGGACCGATTGCGTTTTGAGCTCCATGTCACAGATTGGGACGTCCTACTTGAGTCGGAAAATCCTGAAGCGGTAATATCGGCATACATAAAGTTTTGCTTATATTTCGTCTGTCCCAAAGAAGGAGTTCAATTATAAGAGAACCTCGTGAGAAATCAGAAGATAACACATGTTAGGAGACGAAGGGAGAGAGCACTGGAGAGGAAGGATACAGAGTCATTCGCATTTTGGAATTCGATTATTCTAAAGGAAGTGAATGACGTCAATGAAGCTCTTTTTGCACATATGCAGTTGGCGTCCGAGTCCAAGAAAACCTTGGACAAGCTCAAGAAAACCAAGCACGAAAGTGGCTGTCAGCTCATGAGCCAGAACCATAAAGGAGGAATCGCTACCAATAATCCCAAAAATGAAATCTCATTTCGATTAATAGCAACCAGAAAATACAGTGGAACGAGGAGCAATAAATACAGGAGGTTTGCAAAGACCTATTTCTCCGAACTCGAAATTTGAAAGCATTCACAGACCGATCATCTGGGTCGGGGCGATCGGACAGATCCAGAGCTCGTAATCCATGCAGTACTCAAAATTTCTGAGTTATGATTTTGCCTGCCCTCAATCCTAAACTCAAATATCAACCGAGCCTTATGATACATAGCCCCCCCACCCCCAATATTTTTCATTGCACAGAAAAACTTCAGGCGGAGTCCGGCCTCGGGCGAAAGGCACAATATAATTTGTTGGGATCAGTGAGAACCACCTTCTGCTATTTCTCCGCTTCCCATCTCATTGCAATATCATAATGTAAATGTTGAGCATTGAATTCTGAGACGGTCGAGCACAGGTAAACACCTCACCTGAGGATTCCACCTCACAACAAGGGTACTGAAAAAGCTGGCAAGCATTTCAACACCTTGCAATATCGATCGCGTATACAATATAATTCTTTTGCTACACTTATGGAACTGTTTCTTTCATAGAAAACAGTATAACTTTTCTTTAAACCACCTTATATATGCATATATCTCGAGATCGGAGCGAGATAGAAAGAAATCTCTAGATTTTACTTTATTATAATCAATTCCTCTATATGTATATGTATGGTTGAATTCATCCTCTGGTCGATTTGGTGTGGAGTGCAAAAGTCAAGAAATGTTACGCTAATTATAACTCTTTACCGATCGTTCCTTCCGAAGTATCTACCGCCCCCACACAAATATTATACCAAATATCAATCGCGTATCCAATGTAATTTTTTTTTACTGCATTTATGAAACTGTTTCTCCCATAGAAAACGGTAAACTTTTTTTTTTAACCACCCTATATACGCCGAACTGTCTTGGGGGAGTCCTCAGGTACCCAATGAACGACTGCCAAACTTCAGGGATTATTTTACGACCTGTCCTCGCATAAAAGGGGGGGAACTCCAAAGGCATCCCCTTTGACCTGTCGACTCTCGTCGAAATGTTACAGTTTTACTACGTATAACAATAGGGGGTGCGGTACGAGTCTGACGCTATCTTACATCCCGAATCGCTATCAGCAACAGGAAAATACAGAGGTACAGAAGAGAACGAGATAGGCACAATCTTGAGAACGAAGTCCCCATGCACCGAGGGGAACGTTCAACGGCCGAGTGAATCGCGACGAGTCGCACTGAAATCTCTGTTATGCAGGCCTGGTGATTGGGGGAGAATGAACGGTGATAGAAGTTTCCTTGTTTGGCTCGTCGCCATGTACACATCCCGTGGTTATCAGGAGGAGGGAATATGAAAAGAGATACCGTGATGAGCAGGCTTGGACTATAAATGGACTATGTCATTCTTTGACAATCGGCACAACTATAATATTGTGGTCATGCGTGACACTGAACGTGACTGAGGGTAGGAAAGTTGTACTGGTTTTTGTCCCGGATGATCTGGAACTCCTTCCCGAGTAGGCTGCATATTGTTCCTGTCTTCCAAATCGTGTCGACACTAACTGAAGATTCGCAAAGAAAGCCCTGAGTTCTCAATACAATACCAAGATGATATACTTAAATTAAAATACCATGCCGTTATCCTGCCGAAATATGAGAAGTAAATTCTGATACACTCTCGTTCCATGAGTACAAATCTCTCACGTAATTTCTAATTTGAAGCCGAAAACAAACTAATTAAAAACAAATTATTTACAAAAATTGTTGGAGATATCGTGGACAGCTTTTCTTATTCGTCAATTATAGCTTCCAGCTTCTTAGCGCCATCAACCTCAGCTCAAGTGAATAGGACTTTGCAAGGAACATAAAAAAGCGAGAACTCTTGGAGACCCTACAATAAAATCTGGCGCCTGTCCGAACTATTCCTCAAGCGTGAAGTACCCCCATAACGTAAAAAAAAAGCTTCACGTTTTGAACAGGGGGAATATTTTCCAAATATAATTACTCCATGTGGTGTTCATGATTCCAGTAGCGACCAAAGAACTGGAGCTCATGACTCCAACGAAGTCGAGTTGAGGCATGCCAATTAAGCAAGCGTGTAAGTTAAAGAGGGATGGAAGTGAGATGTGCACTCACCCTCTGTCCCCGGCCTCTTCTGAATCCTCTGAAGTTAGACCTGAAGCCAAAGCCACCACCGGGACTCTGAAGCCCCACTCCTCGCTTCTGGATGCGACCCCCTCGGCCTCGAAACAATCCTCTTCCTCCCCGACGGTTTCCTCTCATACCTCGAGAACCACCTCTCCCTCTCGACCTGCTCCGCGAGGCTATAATTTCATCTGAACAGCAGAGAAAAAAAAACTTACTAAAGGCTTAGCTTATGGGCTTAATCCTGACTAAGCCTACCGTATGTGTGAAGTGAAACTGCACTCAGCGACGCAAAAAACGGTAGTTGCCAACTATAAGCATCGCAGGGGATACTCCCAAGAACGGAACCTAGTTCTCATCCTCCTACTACATTCTCGCAGACACTGGGGGATTAAAAACTGTCTTGAATTACTTCATGAATGACAGGTATCTGCCACTCTCAAAAAGAGTTAGCATTCTTGCGATAATTGGCATCTCAACTTCAGGCCAATCTCACAAAAGAAAAACAGCGTATCCAGAAAATACCAAGTAAACTATTTATAATTTATTTATTTGTTGTCCAAAGGGTTTCAAATCAGCATTTTTCACTCAGTCTGAATGATCTTTGGGCAAGTATGCATTCCGTGCAATATCACAGGACCTGACAGCTTCTGTTTGCAGATCAGTTACAACTCAATATGAATTGGGTGTTTATGTGGAAGACTGACATTTCGAGCACCTGAAGAATTGATGAACCAAAACAAGGACAATTATAATCAACTAGTGACTGCTAATAATTTGACTGTGTTTGCAAATTATTACTTATTAACAATATATCAAAATATTTCACTTACTCACATACAACAAATGTTTACTAGGTATTTTCTGGACACCCTGTATTTCAAAGTGACCTGTTGTGGTCAGAAATGACTGATATGCACATCTAGGTAGGGAATTTGAAAAGAAGGCAAAGGAGGAAGTGAAGCATGGTAATAAAAAGGCCAAAAGAGAAATAAAAAAACTGCAAAAATAAGGCTGCACAAAGGACCCAGTTTGAAGATGCATGATGGTTCAGACAAAATTTTTATAGTGACTTGGACAGTGTTAACAAAGACAGCTCAATGCATACAAATATATAGAAATTGATCTGTTGAGGTTTATATAAGCTGATAAAAGACTAAGATAACAAATTTGGGACATTTGGTGACTGATGTTCCAGGTTCTGTCCAACCAACAAATGTACACGAATAGAAATTGAGTGGGAAGGGGTTGGAAGGAAACCACATGTTAAGCAGTGAGAAAACAAAGGGAGTGTGCATTATCCTTAGCAATACTGTGCATACATTTATTCTCTAATTTCTTTGTATCTCTTAAAAATGACTTTTGCATGAGTTATCCTTTTGTGTCCCATGGACCTCAAAGCCCCCACCCCCTGGGCAGGTAGGGAACCTTTATAGGCTTATTCTCTCGCTGATATAAAAGCAACTTCTTGCATGATCCATCCTGCTGAATTTTGTTCCTTAGAATGACAGCAACGTAAGCCTGATGAATCAATGCGGTTCTTTTCATTTTATTCCCTTCATCTGAAGCTTTGGTGGCATAACTTTTGTTCATTCTCTATGTATTTGAACTGTGGATGATCACTGTGCAAGTTGAATAAAAAACTAAAGCATTATCTATGTAGCCAAGGATACATCATGCACCTACACTTGGTGCAAACTTCACTAGCAGGAGCATAAGTACATCCCTTTCTGCTACCCCAGAATAGGATATATCGGGTGGCCCAAAAAAAGTCCAGAACATTACATGTTTGCAGACAGAATACCATATGAACTATAGACAGGAAATTTGCAGGGTTTCACATCCAATATGTGCTGTCCAATTTAAATATCCTCCAGCCACTTCAAAATAAGGACCACAATGTCAAAATTACAAACAAGGATTCTCCCTCACAAAGTTCTCTACCCCTATAACCACTGATCCAATCTAATTGGCCCCCTTGCCTATCCTGAGAAAAATGAAAATCTGAGAGGATAATATGGCATTACCCAGATGGAAAGAAAGCTGGCTATTCAATTCAATGTTTAAGGTTTGTGTTGCAAACATGAAGGTAATTCTTCCCTTAACAACATCCTGGGTTACATTTGAGGACTCCTGTTGTTCCCCATGCATGAAAAGGTTAATTCCTGTACAACAGTAAGGTTGGGAGAAACCATATCAGTCAACCATCAATAATTCCAACAATTTTGCTCCCCCTTCTTTCTTCTTAGTCAATTAAGGCATCTTACGCCTTCCTGAAGTTAGCCATGAAAGAGGGAAATACTTAACCTTTCCCTAACACATTCTACACACCTACTTCCAGATAAGTAAAGCAAGACAATCTCCATCTTGAGTCTCAACACTTTCACTTATGTACTCCAAAATACTTAAACACACTAACTGTTGGGGATTTAAATTCACTTACATGTCTTTGCTAAGTACTGCAGGTTGATGGAAACTCACATCAAACATACCACATGGCATGAACTGTGATTAATCTGTTAAGGAGTAATGGTTAAACATCCACCCCCTTGAGAAATTGCACTCCCCCAGTCTCAAATGTTTCCAGATGAATTCAACTGGAAGCATGCCACATCCATTGGGATTCCTCTAATTTATAATAAACACCCGCCAAACCTGACCTGACCTGACCTGGCCTAATATTAGGGGCAACACAATATTCTCAGGGGGTACAAAACCCCCTTATGCCATGAAGGTCAAACACATACCCCCAGCCGTAGAGAAATTGCACTCTTCAGTCTTCAATGTTTTTACCGTTAGATGAATTCAACTGGAAACATCCCATATCCATTGGGATTCGTTTTATTTATAATAATATACACCAATCTTACCCAACCTGGCCTGTCCTAACTTTAGAGGAAACACAATGGGTGGATTGCATAAAACGGACTTTAGCGTAATGAAGCTTTCAACTTCAGTTAGCACCGCTAAAGGTTTAAAGCATGTTTACACTAAAGTCCGTTTTATGCAATCCGGCCAATATCCCCAGATACGCACTTGACCACTATCCCCTTATGCGTAAAACCTAGGGGTAAGCGTCAGCCTTACGCCTATACCTACGTGAAAAACTAGCTATGGGAGCTTCTTTTTAAAGAACAGCACTTACCAAGAGATAAGGAGAGCAAGTCATTCCCCATTTTGTTGGAGAAACCTGCAATTAAGACACAGGCTAGGATTGAGGACCCACAACGGCTGTTAAGCTCAATGCTATGGGACTGTATTGAAAGTTATTTCCGGTCCGAAAAACGGGAGCCTTCGACTCTTCCATCGAGAACGTTTAACGTAGGAGACTACAACCTTTCTGACAACTGTAAGCCAGTAATGAATATGAATAATATTGTATTTAATATTATTTAATATATATGTATTCTGAATAAAACTAATAACTAAAATCGGAGGATAAAATGCTCAACATCTCCATGAAGCGAATATGCCGAAATCAATGGATTCATGAGATTACGAGACTTTGCGTTCCGCAATGGAACTACTTATCCCGCGGGACACTGTCGGACCGTGTAGCCACAGTTTTTCCATTTCCGGTGCTGACATCCTCTGTGATAATAAAGCTCCGCGGTGCTGGTCTGGCTGTCCGCGGTCCTACGCGGTTCGGACTGATTCGTAGTATGGCGGCGGTCAGTAAGTGCCGTGATGAAAATAGCACGAGTGATTTGGACATTCCTGAATATTGGGTGAAAACTCCGACGTCCTGGATGGAAGGATACTCTATCAGACGGCACAGATATTTTTTAAGTTTGCTTGTGTTCACCCTGATGGCCTTGTTTTGTTATTACGTATGGTTGTGCTCGTCAGAGGCGTGTTCTTCCGTGCCCTTGACTGCACCCCAACGCTTCAGAGTGTTCAGTGAGCAAGTAGACGAAAATCATGATGCTTGGACGTCTTCTGTGGATGTGGCAACCGATAAGAATCGTTGTTTAATTGCCGAATTGCGTGGACTGGCCTCGGTGGAACTCCCGAGTCGCTCCCCGCCGAAGTCCATGATGACATTTGACAACATCCTCGCCGACGACTTTTCGTTCGACATAGCAAAGAATGACGTGATGGTCTTCCTCCACATCCAGAAAACCGGTGGCTCCATATTCGGGCGACACCTCGTGGATGACCTCGACCTGAAGCAACGTTGTGTTTGCCACAGGAGGAGGAAAAAGCGACGGTGCGACTGTTTTCGTCCCGGTAGGACCTCCAAACGGTGGCTTTTCAGCCGCCACAGCACTGGCTGGAAGTGTGGGCTCCATGCCGACTGGACTGAGCTCACCAACTGTGTCGACCAGTTCCTAAATGAGGAGGAAGGACATGAAAACAGAAGGTTAGCTGAACAAATCAGATTTCTTTATCGTTTGACCTGATCCTAACCATGGTGAAGACAACGGTTAAGTGTGTACCCCCTAACGAAATTGCACTCCCTCGTTCTCCAATGCTTCTGGATGAATTTAACTGGAAACATGCTCCATTGATTGGGCTTCCTTATATATATAATACACACCACCCCCCCTAACCTAACCGAAGCTGGCCTAACTTAGGGAGCAAACACAATATCCCTAGGGGGTATGCACTTTACCGTGACCGGTGAAGACTGGGATTGCTGCATGGTAGTCAATTCTGAATGATTTTTGGTGGAAAATTAATCTAGCGGGAATTAAACCAGGTGGGCTTTCTGCTTTATGGAAGGATTGAGCCCTGTATTGTTCAACATTCTCAAGAGTGTGAGGATGAAAGCCTTCACATTTTGGCATATAAATAATCTGGCTATTGTACGTCTTGTGAACACCATGTACACCCTGAGTTCGTTATGTGAACACCTACTATAAGCCTATGTGTACACCTTATACAGGGCTATGTGACCACCTCTCATAGGCCTGTGAACACCTATCTTGTGTACCCCTGTACACCTGACGTGAACACCTTCCCGTTCCTGCCCATTACCCTACTACAGGGTCATCGTGCGACGTAAATGACGTATGCCGAAATGCATGCGATACTTTTTATATGCAATGTCAGTCAATGGAATGGATGATACATTGATAGTGGTCATAGTGGTGATGTCACTGAGGGTACCACTGCCGTGTGTTGCTCCTATTGCTATATGTGCGATACAGTCAACTCTCGTTAATCCGAACGCCAGTAATCCGGATCTTCCGTTAATCCGGACTTTCCAGCAAAATACATATAATACAATAGAAAATAAAAGATTTCCCTGTCTTTTCCCCTTTTCTTTACAATACAGTCAACTCTCGTTAATCCAAACGCCAGTAATCCGGATCTTCCGTTAATCTGGACTTTCCAGCAAAATACATATAATACAATAGAAAATAAAATATTTCCCTGTCTTTACCCCTTTTCTTTATTTTCCCGCACCCTTGGATTTAAAATAAATAAATAAATAAATAAATAAACATTTGATCTCCCCAATTTCCTGGAACCGAGTAATGAGGCGCCTTCATTTTGTGCAGTTTTCTTCCTGCAAAAAAAGAAGAAAAATGAATGGTCACTCGGGCAGGGACTCGATAATCCGGAAAAATCACCAGTCCCCTCGAGTCCGAATTAACGAGAGTTAGACTGTATATGAGAATTAGAAGTCGGCGTTCAGCTCCAGTAGAAATAAAAATTCCTGGCAGATAGCCTCGCATGGAAACTGTAAGAGAGCGCTGGGGAGGCGCTTCAATATGGCGCATTTCATTGAAAATGGATCAGATGGCTTAATCAAGGCTGGAAAATATATATTCTAGGCCTCCTTCACCCATGCTTTATACTTAGTTAGTACATGGCTATAGTCACAAGGCGAAGACTGGGCTTAAAGGATGGGTGTACACAGGGTGTACATGGTGTTCACAAGACGTACAATAGCCGAGGTTTCCAGGGGCCTGGGGCAAAACTAAACTGAAGGTCTCTTGGTGGCCCTTGGTATACAAGGCCCAGGGCAGATTGTCCCTGATGTCCCCCTCCTTCTGGGAGGCTGTCAGTATTAAAAAAATACACATTCTAGGGCAGCAGTGTCAAAACATATGGCCTGCAGGCCGGATCCAGCCCATTAAGATGTTTAATCTGACCCACTGTCTGTTCTTGAAATTGGCACTTGGATTGGCTGTCAGCACATTCCAGTGAAAAGTTATGGTTGCAGCCCATTGGCATCCGCAGGGTGGGGAATGCGGCCTGCTGATTTGAGTTTGACACTCTTTCTAGGGGATTCCTAAGCTGCCAGTCTGGTGCTGGTTTCAATACATTGTTTTTTAACTGAATTCAGCCCCTTGTGGGAAGTGGTGAACAAAGAAAGCACTACTTCCAGAGGGTCCGCTTCAACAGACAATCCAAAAAATGACCAGTTGGGAAGGTGTGACCATGGTCACCAAAGGGAATTGTAAGGCCTAGGGCTATATTCAAGTGAATTTCACCACTCTTACCCCCCCATTTCCCTGCTTAATACATAGGCAGTCAACTCTTCATCACTAATGAACACTATGCTACTGAACAATAGTACATCATCTGGCATGGGGGCACCCCCAAGCATAGGGCCCTGGTAAAATTGCCCCTTCTGGCTTTCCCCCCCTCTTCCAGGTATCACTACCAGCAACCAATGCATGCACTCGGGGATTTCAATCTGATAACTGTGTAGTAGGATCAAAGACCATGACCTAAGTCACAAGCATTTTCAATTTTACATCCTTTGCCAGGCATCCACTTTGAAATTAATTAAAGTCCCCAGTTTTCTCAGCTTTCCATGGTGCTAAGGCATGGGCACCCCAAAAGCCCACCATAATAAAATCAAGTCAATGTAGCTTAGTAACATCCTAGTGAAATGATGTGGTCATTATCATATCATTTCTTAGGAAAACTACTTTTTCTTGTCTGTACAGCAATCCTAATGAAAATTGGAAAGGTTATTCTGACTTGAATGGCTTGAGAAGTGACAATGCAAGAAGCTATGAAGCCTTAAAAATCTGATCTTACCCACTACCAGATTAACTAGATGTTAAGCCTCTAAAATTGTTTTTTTTTTTTGACATGCAGGAGAGGCAAGGTTGTCCCAAGAAGATAAGCTGGAAGTACATGTGGAAGACATACTGGCTCACATCAAATAAGGAAAAGCTCAAGGATGACAACAAAAAGTTGAAGGACTATGAAATTGGTTCGAAATCACACATAAGTTTTGTGAAGCGCCTCAAGGAAAAATGACTGTGATGATCTTTGCAGTTGAGATTTTAAATGGAGGAAAAAAATAAAATTTCACACAAAATTGAAATCTCTGTAATGTATTTCAAATGTCCAAATGTCAGGGTGTCCCATAAGCCTGGAACCAGAGGGGCAAAATAATGATAATGACTTGTATTCATATTATGATTGATACACAAATGCAGATGAGGTATCCAGTCAGCATAATAATCATAATGGTGGACACATTGAACACATTCTGTGAATACAAGTCATTACCATCATTTTGCCCTATGGTTCCAGACTTATGGGACACCCTATATACCAATGTTGATCCCCAAAACTTCATTCCACTAGTGAAGCTATCACTGATGAAAACTTCAACAAGCACAGAATGGATGGATGCAAACACAACACCAGATGTGACTTGGACTTCCTGGTCAAGTTGAAGGTAGAGAGATGACAGACAGCAATGAAAATATTGTTAGAAATGCAAAGGGAAACATCAGATTCAACCAAATGGCATGTTTTGTGAGTCAAGGTGCTTTGAAAATTCATTACACGTAATATCTTGTCTATGGAGGTAAAAAATGCAAGATCCATATGTATAGACTCCAGCTCGCAGCAGACTGTACCATTAGCATGCATACAAATATCCATCCATCCACTATAATCATTCAATGATAATTCAGTCACACCATCACATTTTTGGTATAAATGTAAAAAAACATATTATGAGTCTCCCAGTAGATCTTTCAGTGTTGAGAGGATAGGATCCTATATACCCTCCTCTCTGATTTGCAAGATCTGCTAGGAGATCAACTCCTTCAAGGTTAGAAAATTCATCACAACATTCATCTCACTTTTAATACCCCTTTCACTAGACCCCTTGGTAGATCACTGGAAAAAAAATTCCTAGAAGCAGTCCAGCATTAAAAAACAAGATGACATTTTGCCAGTTACCATCGAATACATTTTTTTTCCCTTGGAAAAGCAAGAATAGTGTATTAAAACTGAAACCTCAGGCTGGAAAGCCTGAGGTTTCAGCCCAAGCCTCTTCTTCACCAATAATAGTCCTCCTCAAAGTACTGTTGGAACATGGGCTCATGCTTGACAGCCTGCATGACTAGCCAGACATGTGGAAGGAGAAGGGGGAAGCAAGCGATCCAGAACCTGATGAACTTGTCACGGTTGTCTCCCACCTCTTCCTGGACTTCCTTAGGCAGATCTTGAAGATGACTGACCTATAGTAAGAAAAGCCAAAAATTGCACCATGCACACTGTGATGGCTTCATGTATCACTGCATGGTGAGAAAAAGTTGTTGCCCCTTTCCAAAGAAATTTTGTGGCTCTAAGACCTCTGCTATCCTGTACTTTTGATAACACTAAGGGTGAAGTTCATGTCTATCAAGCACCTTCAGGTATACCTTCAATTCCCAATAGGACTGCACTGAGACTGAATGAAAATTCCTTCCAGTTCATTCCTGTTGCCATATTTGAAAAGTACAAGCATATAGGATCAAGCACCCGATTATGACTGCCCCCACTCTTATGGTCACTTATGGTCAAGTTGGCCACCATTCCCTGCTACTCAAACAAGATAGAGTCAAAATGTACATTCTGGTTCACATCTTGGTTCATTTCATTTCTCAGCATTTCAAATTCACATTTTGAAGTAGCTTAGGGAAAAAATAATAAAAATTTGATTGCTACCAAAATATTCCTGTCTTCTAAAGCAGAGACTTTAAATGCACCAGAGAATTAAGAATTTTGAGTTATAGAAATCCAAATATTTTAAAGAGAAATGAATGTTATATGTACCTGATTTATCTTAAGGTAGCCATTGGGGGATCTGTGGGTGGTGATTTTACCAAAATTAATGAGCAACTGCTTAGCAAAATTTTTTTTTTTCTTTACTTCGGCTGGTTGATCATTAACGTAAGCCTCTTTAAAAGCTGAAACTACACATAAGATGTTATGAATTTAAATAAAACCAAATTAGCAGAGAATTGCCTTGAAGTGGCCATAGCTGGGGCCTTGACCCTACTATCTGGATATTCCCAGTTTATTTTCTTCAACCAAAACCAACAACCTCTTACCAATTTTTCAAGCTTCTGTCACAAGCAGTATTGTTAGCAAGTCAGTTTGAAGCTTCTAACACTGTATTGCTCATAACTGATGAGCATGAAGGGCCTTTTCAGGTGATAAAGGCATACCTTGTTTCGCACAGCTCGCAAAAGATCCTTCACACTACGGCCATCATAAGCTTGACGTCTAGTTTTTTGAAGATCATCAACAAATGCAGGCCCCAGATTTTTCAGCCAGTTCTCTTGGACAATGCCAGCAGAACCACTCTCCAAATTCTTCAGGAGATCACTCTTGTCCCTTTCCTTTTTTGCCTTTTCTGCCTTTTCTGCCTTTTCCACACGATCACTTGCATCCTATCAAGTTGACAAGTGTCACTTACATCTCATATGTAGGGCACTCAATAAGTCTTTGCACTTTACATGATTCCCTTATCCGTTTCCTGATATTTTCCCCCAACGTTTAAACAGTGCTTTTGGAAGTGTGTTTGCCAAGTTGCAAGAGTCTGGTTTGAATAGTTTGCTGTCAGTTTAATTTTAATTGCTGGAAATGAAGTTACCCTTCAAGCAAGTGCCATTCTGAGATGTCAGAAGCCCTAGGGCAGGGCTTCCCAACTCATGCATCGCGACCCCATTTGGGGTTGTGAACCAGCAACTAAATGCCAAGTTATATAATTATTTGTGATTTAGTGCAGAACTGGGAGAGCCTGTCAAACTTCAGCCAGCACTTGGGGGTCCTGAATGATATATTGATTTTTTGGGGTCCCAAGTGAAAAAGGTTGGGAAACCCTGCTCTAAGGGAAGCTATCTCTTCTTTGATTCAGATCTGGTTCAACTAATTTTGCTTTGGGAGAGAAGATTTTCCCAACAACCTCAGGTCTGGTTGACCCCCAGAGGTAACCAACTAATGAAAGATTGGAGTTGCTTGAGCTCTCTTGAAGGAAGACTCACATGTCACTCGTAGTCAAAATCAGCATATTCTGAGGGTCTCACAAGGAGCAATAAATTCCATCTGGCACAATCAGCTAAAGATGATAATACCAAATCCCATAAGTTGAGGGCTCTACAGGTGACATTTCTCTAGGTCAAACGTGTCAAGGTTACTGCACATAAAATTAAACTGACAGTAGACTATTCACACCAAACTCCAGCAACTTGGCATACATGCATCAAAAAGCACTGTTTACCTACTGTAAAAAAAATAACAGGAATAGATGAGGAAATCATGTCGAGTGCAAAGACTTATTGAGTGTTCCTCGTATATCTGTTCTCAAACCTGTAAACTGGACAGACCTGGAAGAAGTCACAGATCTTCTTATTAGACCAGAATAGAGGGAATTTGAGAATGACACTGGTGCTGGGCCTCTTTCCAGGTTCATGTGAGATCATGGCCTCTACCAACAGATGGGCCAATACCTTGTCCTCCTCATTTAGTGCCAAGAACCTATGACAAAATGAATTAAAATACCATCAGTATTAAGATTAATGAAAGAAAAAAAAAATAGGGGGGTACATCTCAACTGGACTAACAGGCTATCACCACTACGTATGTAGTCTTTGCAACCTGCTGAATACACAAATCGATGATTCCCTTTTGTGAGGGCATAATAGATGACACAACCCAAGGAAAAGATGTCCACAGTCCATGTCTGCTTCACAAGAGAAATATCATCATAAGTTTCAATCATCAACCAGTCTACAGTTCATGAGATCTAATTAAAGAAATAAACAAATCATATCAAGAATGATGCTTTTGTTCTCTGCTGCAATGGCCAAACTACCTAAGGTAGTTTAACATTCATTCACATTCTTTTATGCTGAGAGGCCTGTTACTTCATTTTCTTTACAATCAATACCAACTTGATGAAGTCACAGTTCAATTTGGTTCAACTGTGTTCTTTTATGTTCCAAGTCTTGGACAAAGGACTCAAGCTCAGTAGGAGGATGCTGAGCCTCTTGTGACCAAGCTTTGCTAGATTGTTGCTCCATTTTGTTCAAGGTCTGCCAACTGTGCTTCAGCTGGTCATCTAGGGCTGAGATTATTTTTGGGGTTCTCTTTGGAGCCACATGGCTGCAACATTCATACCACCCAAAGTAGATCTTTCTCTGGTGTCGGCATAGTTTTACGTCGACATCCTCAAAGTGTTCGGATATCCTAGCCAGGGAAAGGGTTAATCTGGAGAAGTAGCACCTGAAGGCACTACAATGATAGTGACTTTCTGCACTCAAACTTTCAATGCACCAGCCTTTGAGAAGTATGCCTATATATCAATATTTACAGGCTGATGCTATCCTGTCCTCCAAAAGAACTCCCAGTCAAAAATTCCAGGCTGGAACAGCTATAATTTCCAGGTGGTTTTTGATGGTTCAGCTGGTTCTAGCTGGAAATATGCTGGAATTATGTCCAGCTCATTCCAGGTGGTGGAAGATGGATTGTTACAAATACCATTCATAACCATACCCCAGAATATAAATGATCATTTATAAGTGCAATGTATATTGATTTAGACACTGCAAATATAACAGAGCTATAACTTTCCAGGATAGTGAAGTTTCATCACAGTACTGTTTAAAAGAAAAGTAGACTTACTCATAAATTCCCATGGTAATATGTGTTCTGTTTGATAGGTCTTCATGGTATTATTGCTTAATAAAATTGATGCAATTCTTTTAATTCATTTCTGAGAGAAATCTCTTACCTTCTTCTCACTTCAATAAAAAATAATTAGCAGTACTTAGTTGTGCAGAATTCTTATTTGTATGAGCATTGGAAATCGATTTATCATTGTATGCATTCTATTGGTTCAATTCCCCATAAAACGCAGGAGAGTAAACTTGTGGGATATAGTCATGCTGTAGACATCATAGGGAGATGTCAGCTTTCCTCATTCCATTTCCATTGTGAAAGGGATAATTTAAACAGGGGATGTTTCTGCTCTGCTTGAAGCTTCAAGGTTAAAGCTTGAGGAACTCAAGCCTCAACAATGCACCCTTTGATTTTCAAGAATCATATAACGATGACATGTAAGAAACACTTCAAACTTTCAGTTCAGAAAACTCAACCTCTCTCACTCTTCCCCCTCAGCCTTGACACACCAACAACAAATGTGCCAAGTTTAAATATTAAAAAAAAACTTTAATTGAGATAGGAATTGCATCAAGATGAAAAAAAAAAAGTTTTGCTCCTTTGAGAATGCTTAGAGTACACTACCATTCAAAGATAGAAATATCCATGATATGGGTACTCACACTCCTCTTATCATCATGGGCCATTTCAGGAGCAATCCATCCTTCTGTGCCAGCAACCCCTGAATTCCGAGAAAAAGACATCTGCCCAGCCTGCAGCTTCTTGCAGAGACCAAAATCTGATATCTTGGCTCTCACTTCTCCATTTGACATTGGCATGGACAGCAAAATGTTTGAAGGCTTGATATCTCGGTGGACTAAGCAATTAAGAGGGTTAGGCTTGAATGCAATGAAGGCAAAGAATAACACGAAGAACAGAAAAGTGTCTTTCACCAATGCCCAAGGAATGGAGGTGATTGAGGCCACAGGTTGCCTGCTGCAGGATGGGAAGTGGTTGAATCAGTGACTGATCAAACTCTCCCTGTATATACTCCTGCAATGTAGCTGCACACAACTCCAGGGCTGTATAATGGAATTGATGGTCTTGCTCCATGCAAAAATACCTGAAAAATAAGTGTGCAAAACAAAAATAATATTGATAAAAAGCACTACTGCCAAATAATAGAACAAAGAGTGGCAATAAATTCAATCACAACTTCTCCAGAGAAGATGGTTATACTTTTCATGACTCACCTGATAACATTAGGGTGCTGGTCAGATTCCCTGAGAAGTGTCACTTCTCGATCAGCAACTGTGAAGCAGCCAGGCAATAGCCGTTTCACTGCAACAGGACGGCTGTCAAACTCCCCTCTGGTGATGGGACAGATCAAATCCTCATTGGCATCATCTCTAGTGTGAGTGCAAAATATTATGAGCACATGGCAAAAAACTCACTTGTACACAAAGGTGCCATCACAACCTTTGCCCAAGACATGACTTGAGAAAAAAAGTATCTTTCCCACTTTGATCTTGCCACTCTAGTGTGAGTGCAAAATATTATGAGCACATGGCAAAAAACTCACTTGTACACAAAGGTGCCATCACAACCTTTGCCCAAGACATGACTTGAGAAAAAAAGTATCTTTCCCACTTTGATCTTGCCTGGTTCAACCTCCTCAGCTATGGCAGTGATGGCTCCATTCAGTGGCGTGACCAGAATTTCGCCAATGGGAGAGCTAGAATTTTCATTACTTCTCCTCATCAGGGGGAGGGAGCAGGCAGATGGCAGATTCATTTGGGCAAGAGTTGTGGGGGCTTGAACCAATCTTGAGGGCATTAAAGCCCCCCCCAGCCTTCTTCTTGTTATGCCATTGGCTCTATCATTCTGCTACAGCAAACCACGAGAGCATGACAGTGAGCCCCACTTCAAGGAATGGAAATGGAATTCCCAAGTCTGATGTAAATGAGCAAATGATCTCAAGCCTTCCATACCATACTCAGTACTTGAACTTTGCTTGGGTTTATTGGCAGGTTTTGATCCAAAGAAAGTTATGTTCAATTTGTAGGCTTCCAACAGCCACCTACATAAGACAGTGTCAAGTCCTTTTGTGTCTTTCTTTTTCATCATAAATCTTGAAGAAATCCATAGCTCAAAAAGCTCAATCCCTTCCTCACAAACACCTCCAATGAGCCAAATAATGCAGCCAGCAATTGGACCAAGGACATATTTAAAAAAAAGCAGATCAAGCATGAATACTAGACACTCATGATTCTAGGATGACTCTTACTATACTTACAGGGCATACTGATAGGCAGCAGGACTTTTAAATCCTAAATTTTGAAACAGAAATTTCCAGATCTTCACACATACACAGATTTGCTCATATACAGCCCTCCCCCCAAAAAGCATTTTGGTGGTCCATCCATTGCAATATGAGGCAATGTAATTGGAATGTCATCATGAAGGATTAGTTCAAAAAAGGAAGGAATACCAACCGGTTGATGAAGTGATAGCAATATATAGACCATGAGGCTGACAATGTCTAAGGCTTGAAGGATCCTCTGCATTTTGTCTAGTAAGTTGAAGAAGTCTTTGATAATGGCTGGAATGATATCATATCGCAAAGGATCACATATGCCCTCATCTTTACGTCGTGGTATCATCTTTGGGCCTCTTTGAATCACTTCGCTGGACAGAGGGAAAAATGGATCAGGGAGTATCACATCCATTTCAAAGCCAATCTCTTTGTTCTGACAAGTAAAGCCAACTTTTTGGCCCTGTGCAGCAATCTGGCATTGCATTCCTGGCCATTCACAGTGATCTGTGGATGAATAAGAGTCACATTAATATATTACTTTTAAATGCACAGTACAGCATTTTGTTAACATGCAATAACTAATGGCTCTTACTTGAGAGAGACAGTAATGTATACCATCAGGCTTATACTTAAATGACTTATACTTTTATTCTTATTTTATTCTTTTATCTTTTATTTCACCTTGCTTGTGGGTGAATTTACAGGTAAATACTATGAGAAAACAACCCTCTTACAATACCTGCACCAAAAGATAAAGCCATGCAGATATGCAAAAAATCACTTACAAAAGATGAACTGTGGAATGCTCTTAAGAAAATGGGAAGTCTCTTGGCATAGACAGTTTTTCTTTTGAATCTCTAAAAGTGTTCTGGGATTTCCAAGCCCATTTATAGTTAGAGCTCTGCAAGAAGCAGAGACAAAAAGGCTACTGCCTGTTTCACTAAGACAAGGCATTATTACATGCATCCTGAAGCCCAGAAATCAAAAGAGGTGAAAAATTTCCACCCAAGCAGCCTCTTGAGCAATATATATAAACTTCCATCTGCTACCTTAGCAGAAAGATTAAGAGATTCCTCCTCATTTTAATACACAGAGATCAGAAAGGCTTTATAAAAGTCATGTATAGGGTGGTTTAAAAAAAAGTTATACTGTTTTCTATGGGAGAAACAGTTTCATAAATGCAGCATAAAAAATTAAATTGGATACATGATTCATATTTGACAGTTAAAAGGTGTTGAAATGCTTGTCAGCTTTTTTTCAGCACCCCTACCTAAGTCGTGCAATGCCCATTTGGAGGTGAATTAATGGTGCTTAGAGGTGGATCATTCCACCTCAAGTGAGGTGGAATGATCCACCTCTAAGCACCTTGCTGGTGCAAGGTGAAAGAAAAACCTATGGACTCAAGTTGGGTCCAAGTAACAAATATAAGAAAAAAAACCATCAGTAATCCTATCTTCTTACCAATCAAAACCCAATCCAACTCCTCATTGGTTAGGTACTCTTGAGCAGGATTCTCTGCTGGTAGGGCAAACTCTTTCTCAGCATGAATTGGCCGTTGAATGGGAAGGATGTGAGAATGGACAAGTCCAGAACTGATTTCCACTATTGATGCATCCCCAAATGTAAGCAGTACATAAAGGGCATGCTCATACTGGCCGATATTCAAGGTGGACCTTTTTGGAAATAAAAGAAAAACCTGTTACAAGATCAATGAGTTCATGAATCAGTAAATGCAACAGAAAAGAAGGTCCAACAGGAGTTTCCTCTCTCCAATGAAGTTTGCTTTCCAAACATCTACAGAGAGGCGTGAGATGATGCCGGACAGCATGTCAGATGCCAACGTGGTGAAAGGAACTCTTAAAAGCCCTTCATGCTGGATGAGGTAGATGGCAACAATGGGTGACTGGAAATCTCTCTTCCAATGCAACTTTCCATCCTTTCGATTCAATGTCAACAGATACCCATCAGAGTTACCAGCAAGGTGGGTCAAATCTAATGGGAAAAAAGATAACCATTAACACTGGCTATGTGAAAAAGCACATAATGAAAACTGCAACCACTCACCATAGCCCTCAATCATTGGTGCAGTCATTTCATTGGCATAGTAGTCAGAAAATATCAAATCCCATGATTGATGGGGATTATGGCTGTCCAACACTGTGATAGTATAGTCTACAAAGAAGAAGCTTCCTCTGAAGAACATTATAATTTATTATGGAGGGATCCTAAAAGAATAAGCATGAGGTGGGCCTAGATTTACCAGTGCGACTAATGAGAAGGGAGTGCTGTGTATCAAATGGGCAAAATCTGTCAACAAAGTTTGATACCTCTTGGGCAAAACCTGTGCTATTATCAATGGCAATCCATTTCTCCACCTTTTTGCCTGGAAAACCCAATTCCAATGCATAACTCAAAGGAATACAGAAGCCAAATAAGCATTGACAAGTTCAACTAATTGCCTACCAGAAAAGAAGATGCCATCAGTTGCAAGAGTTGGAGAAGCAGAGATGACTTCAGGGATAGTGAATGGAAGCATTTTCACAGTTGCCATCCCACTCCTCCCTGTCTGCAGCATATACAGGGACCCATCTTTTGGATCCGGCAAGAAGCTAGGGTATAAATGTTTTCCTTTGTTAGATGAAAGATATTAACTATCCTAACTCACTGCCTTTTTATGCAAAAGAAGCATGTTCTCTCAAATGTAGGATATTTCTGATTTTGTGCTTTAAGTACAAAACACTAGGAAGGCCAAAACTTACAGCTGACTTGTCTTGGTTTCAGAAAGAACTTTGATGACTGGATCTGGAAGAGAAGGAATGGAAGCCTAATTAGGATACACTTTTTATTATTATTTAGAGTTAGCACTTTTCTTTATCTGAAAGAGAATCATGCATGAGAGATAAGAAAATACTAGTCGAAGCGCGGATCCTCCGGGTCTAACTCAGAGTGCAAGGCTTGGCCAGGAAAATGACTCCAAAATGTTGACCTTTGACCTCTAATATCTCAAAGGGGAAAGGTCACATAGAAAAATGAACTTGACCAGGAAACCCTGGGGATTTAGTAACTCCCACACACAATGAAGGAGGTTATTTTGATTAAAAATGACCATGGTGACCCATTGGAGGCAGGTCCACCAAACTCTGCTGTCCTGATGCCCCACCCCTAGGAAGCCTATGTTTAAAGTTTCAGGGTCAGAGATCAAACCATCTAGGAGGAGAAGTGGCCTCGGACACATAGACACTTATGCTCATTAGTAAGGTAAATAGGCTTCACAAAGTAAAACTGACCATATTGAAAACGCCACCTCACTGCACCAGTTTCCTTTCCAACTGCAGTGAGTGATCCTTCCAGAGCAGACACAAGTAGTATGTCTTCAGGAACAATTGCTGAGTTCTTTGAATCTGCATACTGCAATATTGGAAATCAATGTTGGTCCTAAGGCTGATATGACTAGGGAGGAAACAGACTCCAGGAAGTACAGTCATGTTAGACTACATTGATAGCCAAACAACAAGCATTCTAATTATCTGGCTCTGGAATCACATCAACAGCCCAACAGGGAGGCTTGTGCCAAAATCAGACCTATTAATGTCACATGTTAGGTTTAGCATCTCTGAAGCTGTACTGAATATCCAGGCTTCCAAGGCCCAAGTCTATTGGGTGCACTGAAAAAGAGCACTGCTTTGGTGATATTTACATATAAAAATTAAATTTATGAGAGAACTGCATATATTCCAAGAAGTATGCCCCACTTCTCTCTAATATTTTTCCTGTGCTAATGTTTATTCCACACCTGGTAAATTACGTTGACCAATTAAGTTGAACACTTCAATCATTTGACCTGTTTCATGCATATAGAAATACTAAGATGAACTTTGCATTTGATAAATATTGCAGCATTGGTCCAATATTAGTCCAAGATACTGTAATGTGTCCCAGAAAGGATTTCAATGTTTGAACTGGCACATTTCTTCAGTTTCCAAGGAATCATATTCTCTCATAGCAACATCCTCAATGAAGGCCTGCAGGTCACATTGAATGGATCACAGATCACCTGATCGAAAACTGTGTATTAGTTGCATGGATACGTGAAGAAAGTGCAAACTTTAGATCGAAAGGATTGGCTGTGGCCGACAGTTTGAATAAAAATTCAGGAAAGAAATAAAAGTAAGCTTACCGCGTCGTCAAGTTTGAAGAATGTCAAACGCCTTTTCTCCACTGCGGTTTCCTTGCATTCCTTTGCATATTTTTCTCTTCGATATTTGGCTCCCTCAGACTCATCTGCGATGGAAGACTTCAGCTCGAGTTCCTCTTCCTCATTCTTGAGTTGGGAAAGAGCACGGGCGCGGAGGACGAGAAGGCAAAGGGAGAAACTAATCGTCGCGTGCATCCGCATGGCATGAAGCATTCACACATACGAGCGGCCCGGTCTGGCTGATTTCATCATCGGAGCGAGATCGTCGGCATGACGTCATCGGGTTCGAGAGTGCAGAGTCTAGCAGACGACGCTGCACTCTCTCCTCTTGTCTTTAAGATAGGGGAAAACAACGAAACTCAAACGCTTCCAGAAAAATGTGGAACTTGACTCGAAAGCTAAAAGTATCGACTGCTTGTTCGACGTCCTCTTAGGCGATTGAATTATCTTGCCATAGTTTCCCTGATGTATCGAAGATGCCGTGGTTCTGATTTCTTATGATATTTTGATAGTGAGACGAAGTACGAGTGCGCTCAGATTTTGGATATTAAACAATCGTGTTTCAGTTGTAGAGTATCATCAGGAAAATTGTTCCATAGAACTACGTGTTCATGCATAAATTAGTATAAGAGTTCCATTAGGAATATCCCAGATAACACGTTACGTTGGGCCCACATTGGATGAAGGTGGGAAACGTTGGCGGAACGTGAATGTTGGGGAACGATGTTGGCCCCATGTGGGCCCACATGGGGCCAACATATCCACATGTAGAAAAGAACTGCAGCACTCCTGGTGGAGAACTTCAAAAACCTTGAAGTTCTTTGCCAGGCCACTAGATGTAGGTGTGGGGTCTCTTTTCGCACAGCATGCAAAAGATACCTTCCCTCTTTTCCTGGAATCGTCCTTTTGCAGGATTGTTTAGTGCCTCGGCATATGACTCGCCTGGTCTCATTGTAGGAATCAATAAACGCGGACATTTCAGCATCCATTTATTCAAGACAGATTCGTGGAGCTCAGGCCATAGAGAAAATCGTATTCCCGATGAGAATCCTTTAGAAAGAAAGGAGGATTCCATCCGAAATGGAAATCCGATATGAAGAGCATCCGTGAACTCGCTTCCGCTATTTCTTCATCTTCATGGTAGAAGGAGGAAATGAAGAACTAAGACTACGGATACTTCATGGAACTGTAGGAGGTGGTCCATCCGCTGACACGTACTATAATCAGTACAGTCAGGGGAAAATCCACGTCTTTACTGTCCTATGTATCCTGCTTATCAGGGTATATACAGGGTGTCCGTATTTGATCGCAACATAGGGAATATTTTGCCGCCTGTTGGAGGTCGGCGAAGGCTATAAGGCCCACCGGGTTGCCTATCTGAAAGGAAACAAACCCCATAGGATAGGGATAGGCTTAATTAAAAACGAACACCCTATATATGTGTCCATGGTAGGTTGTAATACATGGTGCAGGTTCCGTACTACAGATGGGGATACCTCCACTGGATAGGGAATTTAAGTATTTGGTACGAAATGATGATGATATAGAGAAAAAAAAACAGCTTCTTGGGTAAGTGCCATCCAACTTACTGCCAACGTTGGCCCAACGGTCACTTTCACGTGGGGCCAACGTGGGCCCCAAGAAAAATGTTACCTGGGATCGTTGGCTGCGAAGAACGAAGATTTCAACCTGCTTCGTATGGATCCTCTTAGGATTTCTTTGCTCCGGCTCACGAACCGCTTGACTCGGTCGAATGAGTTTGAGTCGTTTTCGATTGAAACCCTTTGAAACCTTTTTCCAAGGAATCGTGCGAGTCCTCTAGCGGCTACTAGCTCTCTTCGCCCAAAGCAGCGGGTGGTCCTGTGGTGTTCGATAAATTAGGCGGCATTTGTCGGCCTTTCAACGCACGTTCCTGTTCTGAGCAAGGAGTCGTCGAGAACGAGAGACGGACGAAGATGCTTCTGCCGCGAGTTTCGCCGACGATCCCTCGCCTTCTGCGTTAAAAGATCTCTGTTGATGGAGTCACTCCCCCATAATCGCTGCACTGTCTTACAGTGTTCAGGAGCAGAGACTTGAGCATTGGGAACGGAAGTACGGCTAAAAAATAGGTTTGTACTTGGCCTTGGACCTCATGAATTTGCAATTTCTTAGCCTATATAAATTAAATGAAAAATTACCTTTAGCAACCCATGACCAGGACCGGCCTTAGCTATTTCGGCGTCCTGTGCAAAGAGACTCCCTAATGGCATGTGGTGAATTTGCAGGGCGCAAATTCACCACATGCCAAAGACCGACCCTACCCATGACTTCATATGATATTATGTCATACTTAAACGGGCCATTTTCACGAATGACGAAGTACGACATTGGACACGAATGGGTTGCTAAGGCTATTTTTTATTTATTTCAATAATAAAAGTTATGGCCTTATTGATGAAATATGGGTTTGAAAATCGGATGTTAACCATCACCAGAAAAAAACTAGATGTTAAGCCTCTAAAAATATTTCCTTAACTTCCAGGAGAGGCGAAGTTGTTCAAAATTAGCTGGAAGTACACGTGAGAGACTCATGTCAAACAGTTTCCTGTTTGACGCGAGTCTCTAACAGGTTAAGGATGTTCATAAAAAGTTGGAACAAGGAAAAGTGACTGCAATGACAGCCTTAAAATGAGAGGGGAAAAGAGTCACATTTAAAATGGAAATCTCAGTATTGTGTATATCAAATATATTTCAATGTTGATCCCCAACACTTCATACCACAAGTGAAGACATCACAGATGAAAACTTCAACAAGAACAGGACGGGTGGATGCAAAGGCAGCACCAGACATGACCCGGACTTCCCGACGAAGTCGAGGGCGGAGAGATGGCAGACGGCAATAAAAACAGAAATAAAAGCATCATCGAACACTGACAGATAGTGTTAAAAACAGGAATGCAAAGGGGAACATCAGGTACACCCAAGTGCCATGTTTTGTGGGTCAAGGTGCCTTGGAAATCCATTTATATCTGATATCTATGGAAGAAACAAAGGCAAGATCTGTACAGATCAATAAGACTCCTGCTGGCTCCAGACTTTACCGTTAGCATAAGTACGAACATCCATCCATCTGGCACGATCTTCCGTGGCCTGATTTAATTGCAATTCAGTCATAACATCAATGCATCGTTGTTGACATGAATTCAACAAGATATCACATAAGTTGTGCTTTCTCAGGACTCATTTGCCCTCAGAAGAGATTAAAGAAACCACTTTAAACTCATCACTCATGAGAAGCAAAGAAAGCATCTCCATTTGGCATATTCAAGACCTTGTAAAAGAGGTGTTAAAAAATTAACAGCCTGAGGCACTTCCAGTTGTAAGACACCTTTTTTAATTTTCTCATGAGAATACAGATGTCTTTGATGGCAAATGGCAAAATTTAGTCTATGTGCTACCAAAGGGTTGGTACCTGATTTTTTTTTTAATAAATAGAATCTCTCCATTTGCAAACAAGAAAAAAATTTTGCTGGTCATGTCAGTTTTCCCCATGAGAAATTCAAGAAATATACATTCCAACTGGTAGTGCCTCCAGCTGGAAACTTTTTGAACACCCCTCATACAGGAGGGAAATGGAGACAACCACACTTCTTGTAGCACTGACTGATAAAAGCCAGACCAAAGAGTTGTCCTTTCCTACAAGTGGCCTATAGCTTACTCTTAAAGTTGTCCTCTTGCTGACCTCTGTACACGGATAAGACACGTACAGGCATCACACGACTAGACCAAATACAAACAACATTCGATGTTCAAGTTCCAAGAGTGAAGATGGACTTCTTTTGTTTTGCATTCCTTCCACTGATCCAGGAGACAGCTAGAGGGGACTGCAATTTATCATCCTGGGACGAGGGTGGAGGTTTACCGCTTTCGAGCCGCGTCATGGTCCCTTCGACCTCGGCCGAGTTTCCCAACCGGGCACCATCAATGGGACGTCTTACAGTAGGTTCCACTGTTGATCGAACTGGAGGAGATGGCATGTTCTCCCTCCAATTCGCCTCGTAGCTACTGAGATTCCACTCTCCTTGTCTCATTGGTGATTTCTTCTTTTTGTATGGCTTCTTGTGTGGTGTGATGAGACTGGGGCCACTCTCCATTGCAAGATTAGGGTTTTCTGCTTCACTTTTGAAAGGATGTCCATCAGATTCTCTCAAGGTGACTGGATTCTGCTCAGTTGTTTCACAAACATCATCACCTTCCTCCCACGAGTCTTTGACCTTTCTTGTTGGCATCTGTTCTCCTCCATGTCTCCATTTGCTCCAAGGTGTGAGGATGGAAGGCACAAAGACAGTGTCCACCTTGGCCTATCAAGGAGAAATACATATTGGTCATCAGATTTGCCATTCACCTGTCTCCTTGACACCAATGAGAGATAAACAAAGCATGTGCACAGAGACTAGAGAGGAACTCTTGCTGGCATATATGGTAACAAATTATTCTAAAGGAATATATGACAAAACATTGCATCTAAACTGTATTCTGATGAATTACCAATTCTGATGAAGAGATGATAGGGAAACTTTCATTCTAAAAACTTCCAAATGTACAACATGAAAACTTGGATCACCTACTCAGTATTGCTGATTCTGAGAACTCCTAAAAAGCTACATAATTTACTTCCAAGTAATTTTGGAGTGATCATCACAATGTAAAACTAACAAATGAATCAAACTTGAAACTTTTATTTTTATTTTTTTACTTTTTCTGGATTCACAAAAGCTATCCAAAATGGTGGCTTACCTGAATAAAATCATACTCCTTCTCATAGTGCTGTTGGAACACAGGCTCATGCTTGACTGCCTGCATAGCTAGCCAGAGGTGTGGAAGGAGACGAGGGAAGCGAGTGATCCAGAACCTGGTAAACTGGTCAGGGATGTCTCCCATCACTCTCTGGGCACTCAGAGGCAGCTCTCGATAATGATGTTTCTAAAGCAAGTAAAGCCAAAAAATGCATGTCCTGATGTAATCAAGCCACTATGATGGCATCATGTATCTGTGGTTGGTTAGAAAATATTCTTGCCCCTTTCTAAGTTCTGCAAAAATTTTGTGGCTTTAAGACCTTTACGATCCTATACTTTTGATGACACTAAGGGTGAATTTCATGTCTATCATGCACCTTTAGATATACTTCCAACTACCATTAGGACTCCACAGACTGAACGAAAATTCCCACAAGTTCATTCCTGTTGTCATATTTGATGACTACTCGCATGTAGTATCCTGATATTTTCCTTATTTTCAACAGCTAAAACCAACAACCTCCTAATAGTTATTTCAAACTTTTATCATAATTTACACAAACAGTATTGCTAGCATGTCAGTTTGGCATGTATTGCTGTATTGCTCATGACTGATGTGCATGAAGAAAAAAGAGGCATACCTTGTTTCGCAGAGCCCGTAAAAGATCTCTCACACTCCTGCCCTTGTAGGAACGATACTTTCTCAGATCATTAACGACTTCAGGTTCCAGCTGTTCCCGCCAGTCCCCACGGACAACATCAGCAGAAGCCCTCTCCAGATTCCACAAAAGGACACTCCCATCCCCTTCCTTTTCCACCCGATCACTCACATCCTATCAAGTTGGCACATGTCACTCACATCTCATTCACCTGTTCTCAAACTAGTAAATTGAACAGACCTGGAAGAACTGGAGGATCTTCTTGTTGGACCAGAATAGAGGGAATTTGAGAATGGCACAAGGGTTGGGCCTCTTTCCAGGTTCATGTGAGATCATGGCCTCTACCAGCAGATGGGCCAATACCTGGTCTTCCCCATTTAATGCAGACAGGCTATGACACAATGAATTAAAATACCATTAGAGTTAAGATTTATAAAAAAAAAAAAAAAAAAAAGGTAAACAACTGGACTAACTCGCTATCACCACTAAGGATGTTGGCCTGGCGTCTTAGGGAATCCCCAAATGGATGTTTCCCTTTAGACAGGACGTAATAGAAGACACAACCCAGGGAAAAGATGTCCACAGCACATGTCTGTTTCACAAGAGGATAATCATGAGTTATGAATTAAGAATAAGTAACACAAATTAAGAATGTGGTCCTAATGGACATAATAATGACTTAATTAAAATTGCAAAAAATATGATTCAAACAGGTTATATTAAAAATGAAGCTTTTTCATTATTATTTGAACTATTATTTTCTCATGCAATTGGGGTCCATCCTCTCTCTTCAAATAACATGGGGGTACTTTATTTTGCAAGAATCTTACATGTATTGGTAATGATAATCAATTCATGATTGTCAGCATTCAACTAACTAGTTGAATGGTAATGCCAATGGAGCCATTATAGGAAGATGTCAGCTTTCATCAATCCTTCTCAATTCTGAAAGGGGTGATTTTAACAAAGGGATTTTCTCCCCTGCTTGAAGCTTCAGCTTGAATAATTCAAGCTTTAACAATGCAACTTTGTTATTTTAACAATCACATACATTGGGGCAAAAGAAACAATTGAAGCATTCAGTTCTCAGCCTCTCTGTCAAGTAAACATTGATATGGAACATCAATTGGGATAAGAGAAAAAATGTTTTTCATATATAAAATCCATGAAATGGATACTCACAGTCCTCTTGTCATCGTGGAGCATTTCAGGAGCAATCCATCCTTCTGTGCCGGCAATCCCTGAACGCCGAGAAAAGGACATCCGTCCAACCTGCAGCTTTTTGCAGAGACCAAAATCTGATATCATGGCTCTCACTCCTCCCTTTGACATCGGCACAGACAGCAAAACGTTTTGAGGCTTGATATCCCGGTGGACTAGACAATGAAGAGGGATAGGCTTGAATGCAATGGAAAGAATATTCTAAAGAACAGGAAAAGTTCCTCACCAATATCCAAGGAATGGAGGTGACTGAGGCCACATGTTGCCTGTTGTAGGATGAGAAGAGGTTCAATCAAAGACTGATTGAACTTTCCCTGTATATACTCCTGCAATGTAGCTGCACACAACTCCAGGGCTATATAACGGAATTGATGGTCTTGCTCCATGCAAAAATACCTGAAAAATAAGTGTGCAAAAAAAATAATAAAGATAAAAAGCACTACTGCCAAATAATAGAACAAAGAGTGGCAATAAATTCAATCACAACTTCTCCAGAGAAGATGATTATACTTTTCATGACTCACCTGATAACATTAGGGTGCTGGTCAGATTCCCTGAGAAGTGTCACTTCTCGATCAGCAACTGTGAAGCAGCCAGGCAATAGCCGTTTCACTGCAACAGGACGGCTGTCAGACAGGACGTAATAGAAGACACAACCCAGGGAAAAGATGTCCACAGCACATGTCTGTTTCACAAGAGGATAATCATGAGTTATGAATTAAGAATAAGTAACACAAATTAAGAATGTGGTCCTAATGGGCATAATAATGACTTAACTAAAATTGCAAAAAATATGATTCAAACAGGTTATATTAAAAATGAAGCTTTTGTATTTAACTATTATTTTCTCATGCAATTGGGTCCATCCTCTCTCTTCAAATAACATGGGGGTACTTTATTTTGCAAGAATCTTACTTGTATTGGTAATGATAATCAATTCATCATTGTCAGCATTCAACGAACTAGTTGAATGGTGATGCCAATGCAGCCATTATTGGAAGATGTCAGCTTTCATCAATCCTTCTCAATTCTGAAAGGGGTGATTTTAACAAAGGGATTTTCTCCCCTGCTTGAAGCTTCAGCTTGAATAATTCAAGCTTTAACAATGCACCTTTGTTATTTTAACAATCACATACATTGGGGCAAAAGAAACAATTGAAGCATTCAGTTCTCAGCCTCTCTGTCAAGTAAACATTGATATGGAACCTCAATTGGGATAAGAGAAAAAATGCTTTTCATATATAAAATCCATGAAATGGATACTCACAGTCCTCTTATCATCGTGGAGCATTTCAGGAGCAATCCATCCTTCTGTGCCGGCAATCCCTGAACGCCGAGAAAAGGACATCCGTCCAACCTGCAGCTTTTTGCAGAGACCAAAATCTGATATCATGGCTCTCACTC